ATATATATATATATATATATATATATACATATATAATTCTCCATATATATATATATATATATATATATATGGAGAATTTACCTATATGGAAAAATTCCTACTGTAATCACAGAAACTTTGATAGTGAAAATCAGACTTGTATGATGACTGTCCTTAAGGTAATTCCGCAGTTCTGCATTGCGCACTTTTACTGCGCACATCTTATAACTTATAATTTCATCCATTATAATACGTACGTTTAAAGAAAAATCATTTTATGGCACTTTTATGTTACTTCAAAACATCTTTGGTTACAGCTTTGGTGCGAAGAATTACGTTAAAATCAATGTTTTCAAAAAAAGGCATACAGAAGTGGGGTTCCTGAGTATATTTATTTACTTGTATTTCACGTTTTAATGCCACAATTCCCTAAAAAGATCGGTGACCCCCGTTTTTTAACTGATAATTTATTTCTTTAATGCCTTTTACATTTCATATCCGAAATTAAAAGAAAAATCATTTCTGGATCTTGAAAAAAAATCCTTTATCAATGCATGTTCTCAAAGAAAGATATGTAAAGAAATGTGGAAAAGACACTTGTGGATCACAATTATACACGTTAGCAGTTTCATTTTGCTTAAAACACAATATTTTTTCAAAAATAATTACAAGACTATAGGTTTACTTAAACAAAATCCGCGCTAAAAACGTCAATAAATATCGGGCTGTTGTGAGTTTGCTGTTACTCGTAATGAGCGTCAAGATGGCGCCATATTGGGGTAAAGGTGGTATATTGTGATTGTCAAATCTTCTTAACGAGTTCGGTGACCCCGACTTTTTTGTGTGATTTTACTTTAAGTATATCATAAACTCCATGCCCGCGCGGGAAGTTTCAGCACATTCTCATTTCGGGAACAATTACTGCGGAATTACCTTAATTTGACTTCAGTTTTGTTGATTTTTTTGTTATGTCTGCATGCAGCGACAAAAGAAGAGCACATTTAAAAGACAGAGGCTTTCCGTTTTGTCTTCGGCACTCTTAGGAGGAATGCTCTGCTTTGTTTTCACGCATTGAAAACCAGGTTTTAAATTTTTAATTATACCTTTACGGTATTAATCATTAAGGATACCTGGCTACAATTCAAAAGAAAAATACGCGATCCTGTATTAATTATTCAACCTGAATTACGAATCAATCGTTCTTTTGTGTTTTGAAGAATGCATAAGTTTGCCTTAAAATAAATGAGTATGACTTGAAATCCATATTAAATATTCAAAAACCTTTTAACCATAACGAGGAGGCGACATGGATTTTAAAGTGTTGGCTGTTGCCTTTCATTTTACTAAAATTGATTTTGCCAAGTTATTCAATACAAAAGCTTCAAAGACGAAATTTGGGATGTAGGACGAAACACGAACAGGATCATTGAATATTTGTGGTGTTCGGAAGAGCGCATTATCCAGTTATGAAGGTATCTATAATATAAGCTTCATGAACAGCTTCGTTCCGTGGCGGCGCTAAAAAGCACCTATATCCGGGCACGGAATGTACAACTTTCAGAAGCTGAGAGGAACAACATCTCTCCATTGCAATAATTCCTCTGAAAATAGCGTTCCTGAAACAAGTAAAAGGTACGGATAGATGCTTTTTCATTATCGCTACGGAGAGCTATCCCGGCAGTGCAGTATAAACATACTACCAACAGAAATAATAGACAACCATGGCATGAATTCTTTACAGCGTCATGCATGACAAAAGGCTTAATGGGTTATTGAAGTTCATAAATATATGAGCCCAAGCTTACTGCCTGATCAAACGAGGATTGGAGTTGATGAGAGTTGGCAAGCGAGAGTTTGCATGCATGAGAGTTTTCTCAGCTCTTATTCCACGGTCAAAATAACGAGAACAAGAGTTGCACGAGAGTTGATGAGAGTTGAATGGATATATTAGTTACCGCGCGTATATAGGGAACTCTCATCGTCGACTCCGTCATCAACTAGTTAACGAGAGTCTGCCATCCTCTATAATTCAGGCAATCAAGCAAAAATAGCCTCGTGTAGCGTGTCCTTATCTGCATGGGATGGGTATTTTTTGCCGGTTTGAAACTCGCCAACAGTTTCCCTGGTAACGTTTGAACTTAATGAAATCACCTGTTTTAAGCTGTAAACCACAAATGGCAAATCTAAAAGCTTTACTCGTATCAGTGGTCAGGATGAACCCAAACAAACACGTTTCGAAAGCTTTCGATGACACGAATCGTCTTATTTCACATGCTTTAGGACAAAACAAGCCAAAATCATCATGGTAAGTGTTCCAAGTGAATTCGGTGTCTTTTTTATGCCGTATAAGGCAGAATTTGACGTGAAAAAGGGATAGAAAATTAGACGTTTTTATTGCGTGCCTTGTGCATAGCAACATTGCGTCGATAGGAAACTTAATTGATATAAACCGCTATATGTGGCCACACATAGCCATATTAACGTCGCTACTTCCTCGATGTTTTGGAAAAAGTATTCGCATAAAACCGGATTCAATCCTGTTTCATACACAATGTATAACGATCCACAAATCACAAAAATCAATCAAATATGCTGTTTATACCATCTTGTTTGTACCGTTTCATCAATCTCGCCATGTTGTATACGCGTATAGGAAAAGTGTTTGGGGAAATGCTTATGTAACGTTGAAGAAGCTTTCGGAACAAAAATAAATACTATTCGATTTCTTAAGTGAATGCATAGGTTTCTAACTAAACAATGACAATCATTTTATGCTGATAAAAATATGGAACATAAGATATAGCTTATGAGTTATAGATGAGAAATTTTACACACAAAAAACTTTCTAAACAAAGACTTAATCTGGGAGGGCATTGCCAGCTACCAGATGTAATTTTCTAGTTTTAGATCATATTATACGCGACTATCCAAAAAATGGGGGTGCGGCGTCCTCCAGGGTTTACGCGCTAATTATTCGTATAAAATTTATTTCTTGGAATGCGCATGAGTTAGATAATTGCACACCAGCATCGGTCCATTGCGCAGCGATCGTTTCTGCATTCCTCAGTATTTTATAAAGTATATATACTCGTTCAAAGTTGGTATAACTTTTCAGTTGAATCGTATTATGTATGTACTTTAGATTGAACAATTAGATGCATGTCAATATTATTAAAGTATTCAACTGTTTAATCATCCATATATAGCTATATGCATGTATATACAATACCCAATCAAATTGCCCATTTCGTTAATTCATGCATGCTATAGCACATTTAGTATTTTAAATCTCCGTGAAAGCGGAATAATTTTGGAATTCGAAAAGGAGTCAGGCAACCAGGCAAAAACAGCTTGTTCTTCGAAAACGTTTGGGTATTTAAATTATATTAGATACTCCCCGTTCAATGTTTTATAAATGAATGGTTTGTTAGATAATCACAATAGAGAACCAAAGTTTATTTTGGTTTTATTTTTCTCATTCATTCTTGTCAACAAATCAAAACAACGCTATATATATAGTTGGGTTCACTAAATGCAAGCTTTCAATAACTTATTGTTTATAATTAAAATCAATCCTAATTCATAATACATGAACAACTTAAATCGCGCGCGGTGACTTGCTAGCCAATATAATGCCTAACGCCTTATAATGCCTAGTGATGTTTTGATATCAGTCCCCTGCATTCAGTACCGTAGTCACTTGAAATCGCTTATCTGTAATTTATACTGGCTAGTCAGTTTATCAGTTTTAAACTGTAATTCTCGCTGAAAGTCCAGTAAGGATCAACCCTTGTTGGTCCAGCGTTATTTTTTACAGGATATACATGCTTTATTTAATTAAAGAGGGGAAAAACACTATTTACATAGTTACCACTAAGGTATTCTTCCCTATATGTCCCTTATAAAGATATTATGTATAACTATATATATGTATATATATATATATATATATATATATGACTGTACATGTTTTTTATGACCTGATACCAAAGCATTGACAAAGCACGACATGTTTGTGATATATACCGCAGGAAAATTCATCCATATGTTGTACTTTGTACTTTGTAGTTGAGTTGGAGAAAGAACTCTTTAAGTTTTATTGTAAAAGATGAAACCGTATAATATTCAATAGTTTCTGGATCGGTAGGTAAGGGATTGAAAAGACTTAACCACTATAGGATATCTTATAGGTTTGCTGATATCACTTTTAACTAAAGGGAGCTACCTCAAATTGGTCTGAGCTGATCAAAGAGTTCAAATCGGTATATAATACAATCATTTCCCAAGAACAAATCGGGTAGGGTGAGCCACGGCCCTTCTCTAGCAAGCCTACAAAAATTAAGAAGACTAACAGCGCCATCTTTTTAATCCTCAGTCTTGGTCTTGTATCGTATCCACGCGTCATTGTGAAAACCGCATTGACCTCTTCTCCAATAACAATTTTGAACAGGTTGTAATAACCCGCTTTGCACCTGTTCTGGTTGCCCTTAACTTAACTTAATATGTGACATTAATCTGCACGCATTTTGAGATGAGAAACACTTACTTGGTAGAAGATTGAATTGCCTCGATTCCGAGGACTACTGCAGTCTGAGTTACAAAGTTGTCGTAAGTACATGCTTAAAAGATGACGTAAGTACATGCTTGCAAATATATAAGTTTAGCACGCTGCCTTTGAAATTTGTAAACGAACGTCCTGTGATATGTTTTTGAATTTCTCCTGTGTTTAGCGAGGCAACCAAAATGTCAGCAATGGAAGATCAGTGGGAGTTTTTCGTTGGCAGTGCGAAACAAAAAGCAGAGAGTCACACCAAGGCTTCAAGATTCTGGGGCACAGTTGACACATTTTTCGGACTTTCCCTCATTTTCTTATCAGGTATTATTAATCAAAATTTTACGAGCTGCAGATATTTCGACTTTATTGCAAAATCTTCTTCAGATTATTTCTGAGATAGTCTCACATTATACTCCAATCCTGAAGAATGACAAATGTTCTTTGTCTAACATGATGAGGTGGACAAAAATAACCAAATACGTGTTTGACACTGTTTCTGTGGTAACATTTGGGACGTACTTCTACGCCCAAAGCAGCCTCCCACTTGCAAGCCACCGATATGGGGAAACACACTCAGTCCGGGCTTAACTTGGGGAAACTACAGTCTTCCTTTTAGCTTAAAGTCTTGATTAATTTTTGCACCGAATATTCTTAGTGAGCCAACTGACTCGGTAAATCGTGGTTATAATTACTAGGCCTGTCCATGGACAATGTTGGCTGAAAATTTTAAATAAAGACGAATCTGATTCAACGTCATTCGTACCAGATCCGAATCCTCAAATTTATTTTGAATAAAATTAGATAAAGTAGATAGATGGAATGCTGTTCCGTCGTATTCTATTAGATTATCATTCAATGCAGATGTAAATTTTAGATCTCAATGGCATATATTTTGTAAATTTTAGCACTGTAGTTTAGCATGTATTTATAAGACATTTAAATACTTTTACTCGGACGTGCCGTCGCAGTGTACAAGATTTTTGGAGTGATTTGCCCTAACATCATACACAAGTTTCCGTGCGACGTAACGAAACGACAAGTTTCGTAAACAATCTTTAGAGTGGCATGTTATGCTGGAATAAACCTGGGTTAGTTTTCCTGGTGAAAATTGGAGGTTTACTAAAATATTGCTACTTTTAGCTAGTACAACAGCTTTGGCTCTTCTCGACGGAGTCCCGAAAGAGGTCGTCGCTGGTGTCGGAGCCGTCTCCACCATGTTGGCCGCGTCTGCGTCATTTCTCAAATCCTCCGACCGCCGACAACTTCACGAGAAGACCTCGAAAGGTTTCCGATCTCTGATGGTTAAAATGATCAGCTGTGAGTCGGAGAAAGATTATGAGAAGTATTGGGCGGATTTTAATAGAGAGATTATGGACGAACCCATGATGCCACAGAAGTTCGCCAAGAGTTTCAAAATGAAATATACCATGACCCCAGAGCTACGAGAGGTATGAACGAAGTCCCTTTATTTAAGCCGGTTACAGACGAGCAAGTTTTCTATGACACGTTTTTATGTGACAAGTTTTATTTGCTCGTCTGTACGCGCAACTTCGACAATTTTTTCTATGACAAGTGCACTTGTTCAAAAGCTAGCATGCTAGCTAACAAGTGCATGCACTTGTCATAGAAAAAATTGTTCGTACAAATTTTGTTCGTCTGTATCACTCATTAACAAAGAAAACTTGTCAAAGTAATCTGAGCATTTGTTGTGATTGGCCGCGCTCGCGTTGTCCACAGTCCACTGTACTATTACAATGCTGGCCACTAATAAATTGTCAAAGTAAACTTGTTGACACGTTAAGCGCGTTCGCACCAGTAAATAAAACTTGTCATATGAAAACTTGTCATATAAAATGTGTTGCATACACACACGTGCACTTGGCAAATAAAACTTGTCATATAAAAACTTGTCATAGAAAACTTGTTCGTCTGTAACCGGCTTTATAGTCTTGGTGTACGTGCTTAGCAGTGTGGAATAAACGAAAGATTTTGCACGAAAGTAATGCCTCGGTCAAACGAGAACAAGAGCCGAATTGATGAGAATTGACTACGTATTAGGCTACCAGTCAAACGAGGGAAAACTCTCAAAGTTCATCATGATGAAACACGAGAATGAAAATTCGCGTCGCGTTACCAAATCGCGTCCGGTCTGTATGGACCTTTAGCGGTCAGTCTCATCAACACTCATCTGCAAAGTTCCTCGCAGGGGCGTAGCCAGAGGTGCGTGTGTGTGGGAACACCCCCTCCCATTCATCACGGACTTGGCAAATTTCTGCTTGACGCGGCAAATTGTTTTCGGATTTATTTTATCGGCAAATTGTTTTCGTAGTCAGCGAAAATATTTGAGTGGCTCGGAATAAAAAGTATTAGTATAATTACATAGGTGATTATTGAAAATTCTCCACGCTGATTGGTTGCCGTTGAGGTGATTATTACGCGATAATCACCTAAGCGATTTTCAAAATGGCGGCCGAAGCCTTTTTGTCAATTAAATGACAAAGAAATGTGTATTTTCTTATTTTTTTCCAAATAATCACCTATGAAATTATACTAAAACAATTATTCACCTCGGGCTCGGTGATTATCGTGTGATAAAAATCTCGACTTCGTCTCGGTTTTTATTCACCGATAATCACCTCGCCTTCGGCGAATAATTGTTAAATAGTTACACCTCCCCGCTCGCCAACAATTTTGGGAAAAATGTTAATTAGAGATTATTAAATATTAATTAACCATTGACGTGCGTTGTCGCAAAGATTTATTTTCCCAACCTCATACCCAGGGCCTTTGCTCTGAACCGCGCAAAGGCCCTGGGTACGAGGTTGGTCTTTTCCCATCTTCTCAGACATGTTATTTTGGGAAGCATGCGCGAAAAATGTTCAATATTATAAGGTGTAGAAATGATTTTTCTCTTATTTTCTGATATGACATGTATTCATGTAAAACGTATAGAAGAACAAAAATATAAAGTAAAAAAGTAGGGTCACGGACCTTCTTAAAGAGATAAAGGGTCAGTTAAACATGCAACATGATGTGGTTTAGAATGTTAGTTGAACAAAGAACCCTGAGCCAAAGTTCTGTTATTTTTTAGGAATATTTCCTGAAGCACGCCTAATCATGCAGAGTGTTTTTCTCTTTGCCCTTACTCTTTCTTTATCACTTTACATTGCAGTTCGACTACATATATTAGCTAGAATTTGCTATCAGATTTGCGCAGTAAAAGTACGCAACTGATGAATCACCAAGTTCAATTCTATTTTCCAGGTTGTTGAGCAGAAAGAGCTGGTCATTGCCGAGATAGAAAACAAGAAACTTCAAGAACAACAGGCAGCTGAGCAAGCGGCAGAAAAACTGGCACAAAAGGAGTCAGAAACATGTATTTCACCGAGGAAAGAACAATGGCAAAGTATCCTTGAAATCCCTGAGATTGCTTCCATGTCACAAAAAATGTTCAGAGATAATTTAAGCCGCTCTGCCCAGGCCAATGTCTGAGGAGATATCCACCCTAGGCTTGTGTGACATTAGTCTGCTACACGCGCGAAAATCTCACATCTTGTCCCAAGTTGTCCACAAGTTTGTAACAACTTGTCAACAGTTGTAACAAACTTGTTGATATTATCAGACTTGTCGCAAAGTTGTTCCAACAAGTCCGATACAGTCATGATAAAACATTGTTACAACCTGTTGTCGTCAACCTTGTAACATTCTTGTTATATTATGACTGTATCAAACCTGTTAAAGCAACCTTGTAACAAGTCTGATAATGCCATCAAGTTTGTTACAAGTTGTCAAGAGCTTGATTCAAACTTGATACAACAACTGGGAACAGGCAGACTTAGTGCAACAACTCAGTGTTTGCAGACCTGTATATTTGCACTGCTTGTTGACAAGTTGTCAACGGCTTGTTGACAACTTGCTACAAGGTTGTTGAACTCAACAGAATTGCTACAAGTTGTTCCAACAACTTGTTATCGTCCTGCAATTCACCAATTTGTCAACAGGTTGTGAGTGACAACCTTGTAGCAACTTGATAAAATAACAGCGTTGTTACAACTTGTTGACAAACTTGCGAACACATCTTCTTGACAAGCTGTGAAATTTTTACGTGTAAACGATCTCACACGTAAAAACGCACAAGTTGTTATTGTTACAAATCTGTTCACAAGCTGTCGACAAGTTGTGTTCGCACTGCTTGTTCCCAGTTGTTGTAACAAGTTTGGAACAAGCTGTTAACAACTTGTAACAAGCTTGATGGCATTATTATCAGACTTGTAGCTTGTTACAAGGTTGTTCTAACAAGTCTGATACAGTCACGATATAACAACAATATTGGACCAAGATATCTATGTATTGGACTTGTTGGTACAACTTTGCAACAAGTCTGATAGTATCAACAAGGTTGTTACAAGTTGTTAACGGCTTGTTCCAAGCTTGTTGATAACTGGGGACAAGCAGTGCGAACACAACTTGTTGACGGCTTGTTGGCAGACTTGCTACAAGATGCGAAATTTTTACGTGTGTAGGGCATAGATATAATAAATATGGCGTAGGGCCTTCTATTCATATATCAGCGCTTCCCTTCGTGACGTCATTGAAGTCGAAATAGAAATTTATCAATTTAAAGTTTTCAAACGTGGCTGTTTCAACTACAAGGAAGAAGTTATTTCGCTGACCTCAGAATGACATTTCGTCAAAACTTTTTTCTTCAAGATTGGTTTAGAAACAAACTTGAAGTAGGGTTAGGTGATAGGGTTAGGATTATGGTTAGAGTTTGGAATAGGGTTTAGTGTTAGTGAAACTGTTGCTTTGTTACGTTTTGTCACTCTGAGGCCAGCGAAATAACCTCTTCCCAACTATAAACACAAAACATTCGTACTACATTTTCTTTGTCAAAAATATATTTAATTTCACCAAATTATTTTCCAATACCTATTTACAAAAATGTATACGAACAACTATTTTACAGAAGTGAAATTAAAAGTAAAACCTATTTCTTTAATGGTACTATACATGTACATACTACATGTCTGTGAAATAAACTGACGCTAACATACAAGTAACAAGTTCACCGTAGCTCATATCAGTATATAAATATTTTGCAATTATATTTTTAGTTTAGAATAATCTGTATTTTATATTTATATTTTTAACTGTAACACAATTTTACGATACTCTTTTTGCCATACTACAACGTACAAAGTCTACAAAACTGTCAACAGCTTTAACAAAATACTATATTATGACTAAACCTTTTCAGATTAAGTTGAACAAAGGCAAAGCTTCTAACTAACTAGAGTGGTTAGATATTCATGGCTTTGTCAATACTTTTTTGCCAACACGGCAACAGCCACATGTTTGACTAGTAGTATTTTCATAAACAGTCCTACCGTACTAAAATGTTTTGACTTAAATACTTTCCCACATTTTTAAGTTTAAATTAGAGGGTATCTTAAATTAATAAACTAATGTATACTCTTAGAGTATAAAATAGCAGTTTTATGATAAACCACTCATAAAGAAGTACTGGTCAAAATTTTACCCATTGAAGGGCAGGTAACTTGTTTTACATAATCTAATACTTATCTTATCTTTAATATGCCAAATGATTCTATTTGCTTTTGGTAAAAATGTCTTTCCTATAGATCTTATGTTCCTATTTTATTGACATAATAAATTAAGATTGGGAAGCTATAATCATTGGCAGGTAGGCTCTTGTGGTACATCAGTTGATGTTTAGTAATGAGCATCAGGGTCACCGTGAGATTGGGCGGGGGGCCGGGGGCACAGGACAAAGTGCCCTCTCTGAACAGACCTGCTAAGCATTCACTACATTGCAATTTAGTAAACGTCACCAATGTCTCAAGTTTCAGTTCTGTACCATAATAGATACGATAATCATCATTCACCACCATTTATCAGTACACAGCACCAACAACTTTGAGAATCTATGCCAACCAATTGACTGCAGTATGACTGGCATTTTCGATTTCTGGAGCTCACACAAAACTTTGATATCACTTCAACCGGGTCTTCTAAAAACAACCATCAATAATTCTTCTTCCGTTGACAAGCTATTAATTTCCTCATGGTGTAGCCAATGGACTTTCTCCTAGTTTACCACTGTCATTTGATCTCTTACTCAAGTGTGAATTATCGTTCAATAGTAAACTCTCGACATGGATATTATTCAGCAGGTCATCGGTTCTTTCCACGGTAATTCTAAACACTGACATCCCTGTGTACGAGGAATCCCAATTCACTCTACGACCAGATCGTCTCGGCAACTGGCATCCCAGCTCAGAACAAAAGTACCGTAGCATTTCTCTGATCAATCCTTTGTGGCTAACCACAAGAACATTCGCAGGGTCTTTTGAAGAAGCACTGTCTATAACATCGACATCACAGCTATTTCGACTACTGCTTTCACAATGGTCGTCTTCGGCGTCGTAACTTTGTGCCTGTTCTGTCCGATGCAACATTACGTCGCATATTTCTAAGAAAAAGTCTTCGGCTCTGTGACGGATATCCTCTAATGTTTCAAGTTTATTTAGCAACGAATTGTTTATATTTTCGACGCCTTCTTTTTCATCTAGTAATCTCTGCAAAGTACAATGCAAACCGTTAGAAACTTTTATCTTTATACTGAATAATTGACAAGAAAAAGAATCAATTTCACAGAATGAAGCAAAAAATTTTAGGGAATTGCCTTTCCGTGTACAAAAAAAGGTACATTCGAATTGCAACGACCACATGTATCGGCCAGCTAGACTTTACACATGGTCAATCTGTAAACAAGTTGAAAACACAAACAAATTTTGAACAACTAAAATAAGGATTTTGTCAACAACTGGAAGTGAACATTGAACAGCAGCACTTACAAGTTCTTCCAGTCGCGGGTCTTCGTGTATGGGTAAGGATGAACATGATCTGTTGTGGTTGGCAATCACTACGGCTGTCTAAAATGTAGAATTGAAACAAGTTATATAAACCAGTCGTTGTCCCCAAGAGCCATTCTCTCACAGAGATTTTAATCCGTTGAGTGACAGCGCTCTCCCCTTGACGAGTGAAATCGCCTGGCGTTAGACAGAGTAAAATAATAAAGTAGTGGTTTATAAACCTACCTCTTTTGCCTTTGTAATATCACTGCAATAAATGTGTGTGAATTTTTCACATTTTAATTTTTGACCAAGCAGGTCTGCTTGGCAATAACCTTTTCGAGATAAACTATTGTCTTTATTTCCTGAATAAGATAAACATAGGAGATCTTATTAAAGCCATTGTTTTATAAAAGCCTCATTAATTTAAGCCTTTTTAGCAAACTTAACTTGTGGTGTACGATTCTCGTATGCTGGAAGATGAAACTTACTGAACACTGACACCACATCTCTGCAATGGTTCACACTAGCAATTTTGTTGACAATTTTATGTTTCTGATGGATGGAAATGAGTGAACTTGCATGCAAAGTATAGAGTCGTGTCAGAGGAGAAGAATATCAACAAGTGTGAAGCAGGCATTCGTTTCTGGCAAAATTTAAAATGCAATCATTTTACATATCCTTATTTTGATTACATATGCCAGAATACGAATCATACACGACAAATCAAGGAGTGTGTAAAATGTAAATTCGCCAAACTGTTGTTTGCAACTGAGTGAACAGACACAGATACAAACATTGTCTAAGCTCATTTAGACATTTTTTAGGCTGATCAGCCCAATCATGTCTGACAAGCACAGCCCTTGAAAACAAGGTCGGCATTCGGCAATGCCAACCTAAATGCTGACCTATCGACCTCTCAGGTCGGTAAATTTTTGCCGACCTTAATTCAGCCAAAGTAAAAATTTGTTGGTGCTGATAGCTGTTAAAAAGTCAGCAATTATAGAATTTGATTCGTAGTTCGATTAACTAAACACACTTTGGTGTAAGGTTTAAAAATTGACAAGTATTCTATATATAATTTAGGTAAGAGTTTTCGTTGTAAGTTTGTGTTTTCCGCAGAAAGAAGCATGCCTTGTATTCCGATTTCAATGATTCGCAAATACGTGATAACTAGTGCTCCAAGACATGGAAATAGCTTTAAAAAAATGCTGACACGTGCCGACTTAGGTTAGATTTAGGTCGGCATTTTTTTGCCAACCTCAATTTCGACGGCTCTCAAGGGCTGCAAGCATCATGCTGTTACAAATGTCATGCAAAAGTTTTCATCCAGATTTTTTTTGCGTCTCACTCGATTGAATAATAGTTGAAGGGTTTCGTAGATGGAAATTATCGAGTGGAAATTTTATATACATTTATTACACCTAACCAGGAACAGCTGGGAAAAATGCAACTAAATGTCCTCTGGCAGTAATCGAACCTGCAGCCCTTTCAATATTTTCCATTTACATAAAACCTTTCAAACTTTTTATCCTGTAAATGTTCATCTTTAATTAATTGCAAACGACAGTAAGGAGATGAAAAGTAACGAGGAATTATTTCTAATTTTGGAACACACGACCTAATTAAATATTGCAATATCATTCTGACATTGACCTTGGGTGGGCCACAATACAAAATATTGAACCTCAAAAAAACATATCATTAAACAGAATGCTACGATTACGTTATTTTGCAAAAAAACTATGTTTTTTTAGACAAAACACTGTTACAAATACAGAGAATTTTAGTATTTTTAGGTAATATGCCATCAAACACGCGTGAACACGTGAACAGCTCGTGATCGGTTCGAATTTCCGTCAAGGTCGCGTTTCCTTGCAACTTTCGCTTTGCGAGTGTTTTGGGATCTCCCGTCACAAAAATACAAGAAATGTCAACTTTTTGATCCAAGAATGAAGATATATTAATGAAAATATTATCAGGCTACCTAAAAAATCATAAAAATAGCCTGGGCGCTTTTCAAATGAACTCCAGAGTCGAAATTCGAAACCCGTTTTTATAGCAGTATATTGCGTGCACGGAATTTATCAAAACCCTTAGAAAAGTGTTATAAATCTACCTAGAATTATGAACACAAAACGCTGTATCTTACCAATTGCCTTGGGAATTCGTCTTTTAGCATCGGGAGTCCCACTAAAAAGAGAAATTTCAATAGATTAGAACGCGATCGGACTGTAGGATTACGGTGAATAATGATCGTAAAACATCCTCTTAAAATTTGCGTAAAATGCTTAAATCTGTCCGTAAAAATATACACGGTGAAAGTACATGGTGTTAAATACTTACTGTCTTACTAGCGTTAACAAAAAGCTTGACATTTTAAGTTAAATTTAGTGTTTAAAGGAGTTTATTTAATCGTTCACGCGACGCAAAATGATCTGTTTATGTTTTCCAGCGATCACGTCTGTGTCAGTAATATTCCAGTAATTTCACATTACGCATGCGTATTACGTGCGCTAGTGACGTCATTACGAGGAAGGAATGTTCTAATTGGTTCTAATTACTCCAAAAAATGCAAACAAATGATGCAACAATATAAATTCCAATGTTCAATGACGAAGCAAGGATTACTGAGAAAAATTTCCGTGTCCATATATAGTGTCCTTAGCGGTGTTATACGAGAAGTCTGAAACGTGGGGGTCCCATTTAGGCTGCTTGAACCTTCAATGGTTTGAACTACACATGTAAAAATGCACAAATTGTAACAAATCTGCAGCAGACTTTTAAATAAAAGCCTATACAGGTTTCCAAAGGTCTCTAGCTCTCTGAAAGTATCTCAAAAGGAAATAAATGTAAATAACTATGTAATTTGGGCAAATTAAAAAAAAAAGAAGCTGTTCCAACAACTTGTCAACAAGCAATGCGAACACATCCTGTTGACGGCTTGTCGACAACTTGTCGACAACTTGCAACAAGGTTGTTGAGTGCAATCGGCTTGTTACAAGTTGTTCCAAGTTCCAACAACTTGTTATCGTCCTGCAATTCAACAATTTGTCAACAAGTTGTGAGTGACAACCTTGTGGCAACTTGGTGAGATAATAGCATTGTTGTCAGCGGCTTGTCAAAAACTTGCTACAAGGTTGTTGAGCTCAACAGACTTGTTACAAGTTGTTCCAGCAACTTGTTATCGTCCTGCAATTCAACAATTTGTCACCAAGTTGTGAGTGACAACCTTGTAGCAACTTCATGAGATAACAGCATTGTTACAACTTGTTGACAAGCTTGCTACAAGCCTGTTGCGAACGCATCTTGTTGACCTTGTTGACAAGTTGTGAGATTTTTACGTGTGTACCCAAAAAAATGGGAAATATTTGAGCGGTTTGAGCAAGAGATTACCACGCCACTTATCCACACTACAAACGTCAAAGAGCTTTTTATCTTTTTTATTAATTATACAAATTTTGAAAGTTGAAACGATACGCCAATTTCCGCATTTTCCCGCCAATTTCCTCATTTTGGTTGTACTTACATCAAGTATTGAGTTATAGCCGTTAACGCTGATCAAGCGACATCGGGCGCGCATTTAAAATTCACAAAAATAAAGTTTGGGAAATTTCAAAATTTACAGCACGCGTCTTCTATTTTAATAGTCGAATGTTTGACAGAAATGGTAGATCTAATAACACACAGTTCAAACCATCATTGGTAAGTGTCAGTATTTTATATGTTTCGTTTTGTATTGTTGATACAGTTTGTATTATGTTGATTGTTGAATATCAAAATATGTCTAGACAAGACATGATCTAGTCAGTCAATCAGTCCAAGGGCCTATTTTGTATATGGAACTAATGGAAGCCGGGCTGGCCCGCTAAGCGAGACAGCCCGGTAAAAAGCGGGATGAATTTCTCTTGTCTTTATATGAGAAAATTTCATCCCGCTTGCAGGGGCAATTTTGTTGTTTTGACAATTGTTAAAAATAGCTTGGGCGGTATCTTTGAACTTTCATCCCGGCAACTGGGCTAGCCTGCTTGTGAGTGTTTATATGGAGAAATTTCCATCCTGGTAAGTGAGATCTCGCCTCTTTCAAGCGAGGTCTCTGCAACCGGGCCAGCACGCTTGTCCATATAAACGCACAATAATTTCTACTATAAAAATGACTACATATTGAGATCTTGCTTACTGGGCTGTCTCGCTGGCCAGCCCTGTTTCCATATAAACAGGCCCTAACAGATTGACAGTATAGATTCATCATTAATCATTATTGACTTGATTTGAGTCATTTTGACCACATCACCATCAAAACATAGAGACCACACAGAAAGCCAACTTGTCATCAAAATGCTCTGAAATGTAATACTGAAATGGGAATTAAAGTAACCGGCACCACTGCTCGCATTGTGAATCACAACACAAAAATTTTCTTATTTGTAATAATTTCATTATTTGCTGAAAGATTCAAGTGTTTTCCAAAGGAACCGCAACAAAACCTCAGCGTGAAAATTTACAGCTTTTAATCTCTTATTATGATCACTTTGAATGATATTGCCACACCGGATGTGATATTTAACACAGCCTGTTGGGCTCCGCTCAGGAATGGATTTTACATGTGTTTGAAAATGGAATTCGTAATCATCACTGACATAAACTTAAAATCAGGAATTAAATCTGTTAAGTTTTACTAAAAAAAAATTTTCCTTTCATTTCCCTGGCCTAATATATTTGATGGTGGCACTCTTTAACCCATTGAAATCTAGACAGTGCTCTCCCCTTGACAAGTAAAATCATCTGCTGTTAGACAGAGTAAAATAATAAAGCAGGATACATTAGGTCACAATTAATGCAACTTAATGGGTTAAAAATAATTTTGATTGCACAAGAAAGTCACTGGAAAAAGGAAGAGAGAAGTTAGGCTAATTGTTGTACAGGGAATGTTTTCTGATTGGAAATATGCAGTAGTGTTACCAGCGAAACAGAAGTGCATGAGGACAATGTATGCATGATGTGATTAAGGTTTCAGAAATGACTGGGTGGGTTCTGTGAATTTACCAAAGGCATTTTTTTTGTTTTTATTTGAAAAACACATACCATGAAAAACATAACTGAGTCATCTACAGGTTGTATGACTACTATATTTAGGTGCATTAGCTATTAATCAACCAGGGTACATGTAGTGATACTAATAGTTGTTAAATGAAATCCAAAAAACAAACAAGAGACAGTGTAACAGATACATAATTTGAGACTGTCTCACTGTCCTATAGTCACATACTACATAAATGGAATTACTATGTACAGGTGTATGTACCACAGAATATCGCAGTTCCAATATCAAATAAACAACAAATAAAAATCCTTATTTTTGGTACTTTTTTTCTGCTTATGCCCATAAAATCAGAAAGTTTCAAAATCAGTTCGCAAACCAACATGATTTACATTCATCAACAGTTTTTCTAAGCGATACAACATTTTTACTATTCAGGAATCTCACTGAGTAATCAAATTTACTCTAAAAAACTCATTTTTTCAAAATTATTGGTAAAGCTAATTCTGTAGTGATTTTAGTATTTACCTTCCACTAAATTAAGTTAGCAATATCTGTGCAGTGTTATCACACAACATGACACATCAAATCCTCGTACAATTTGATAATCCGTTCCTTACTTATTGCCACACTGGTATTCTGTGGTACATTAGAATTTTATCCACAGAATGTCCGATTTAAAAAATAATAGAATCTGCCAAATCAAATCCCAAGACCCCACAGGAAGAAAAATATAATGAAAACTATACTAAAAAATATTTAACAGGCTATGTTATATGCATTTGACAAAAGATATGGAACTTGTAAATTTGTGCGGTATTCTGTGGTTAACAAACACCTGTAATACCAACAATAAAATGGAAAAGTTTACATTTTTTTTATTGCTACAGGTACAGTTTTGGTATATACAAATATGCTATAATCAATAGCAAAAAAAGCTAGATGCGTGAGCAAATCATATGATTATTTCAATGTTTGTCAAAACTGCTACTTTCAGTGTTTTTTATTATTTACTCAACAGTCTGATAATCAAACTACTTGAGTTTAATGCCACATCCATGACAAACAGGTAACTTTTCCCATTTCTCAATCTCAACAACAACATCAACCCTTCCCATGATATTTTCTAAGATCTTCTTGAGGGCCCCCACATTATTTTTGCGTACATCTGCTCCCCATTGCTGGAGTGCGACATGAGCAATCCCTATTCCTCCTTGGGCCTCAAATTTTTGTTTCATAGTGGCAGCTTCAGTTTGGTTGAAGCATTCTAGAGCGCTCAGAATTGGCTCTCTACTGCGTCCATCAAGGTTAAGTAGCTCGCAAATCTTTCTGTAAGAACCGGTTTCGACTTTTTGGATTGGCCACTTGTTGCGGTCATCTGGAAGCAGTTTTTCCTTTTTAGTGTTACACTTACGACACATTCTTGAATCTGGCTCCGATTCCTTTTGGCATTTATATTCATCTTCATTTGAGCTCTCTTCCAGTTTTGGTTTTTTTGCATCAATTGTATCTTCATAAATCACAATAAATAATATTCTTTATAATTTTTAATTGAGAAATGCTTTCTTGAAAAGCAAGCTAATTTTAGAAATATGCTCATGAAATAAGCAATTAGCTAATTCTATTTACTTGACAATGTTCAAATCTAAAAATTCATTTGTCCGAATTGTCTTAACATTAACACTATATATAGATGTTTATTCCTACTTGTCACAATATTTTTTTTTATTATACATGTATAATAAATAACTTTCAAAATGGACAACTCAGTCACTGCTAAACTGTTCTAATAACTGTTCTAATACATTTCGATACCTTCTCTCTATAAAGGTTCAATCCAATGTTACTACACAAGGAGAAAAAAGTAAGTCTCCTTTGTTGAAAAATTGGAGCAGGTATGCTTGCCACTCTCCCCCAGGCCCCAACCAACCCAGAATTGATGTTTTTGCCTGTTCGTATTCACATACCTCCTGCCATTCCTGGATCGATGTTTTTGTAGTGAGGCCAATTTTTTATTACTTGAGCTTGTTTAAACATGTTGTGGACAACAGATGCTGCCATTGCACTGGCAAATGGCTGCCAACCTTCTGTCACTGATTTACTTCCATCAGCAAAATCTGACACAGCTTTGATAACAGCCCATTCTATCTCGAGATCATATGCGGCTGCATATAAACCTAAAAATTAAAAATGGCAATATATACAGAATGTTACAGGAAACATACTAGCATCAGGGCCTATGATGTTCTGGGTTAAAACAATATCAGTTAAACTCTGTGCAGTAGGAGATTCACTCCACCCTCACAGGGTAAAATTTCCTAAGGATATTTGTTCTCTATAGCCTGTGACAGGTTAGCCTCTTTTGCTGACATCAGTTGGCCAACAGCCAAGCTATCCATTTCCCTTTCTGAATTTGATTCAAAACCAATTCGAGAGCTACGCTAAGACGTAAGTTTAGTAAGTTATTTAATTGTCTACGTAAATACATGCGAACTACAGGTTGAGAAGTTTACACTTGGGTTTTAGGCCGTTTTATACTAATCTTGTGCACAGATGCCAAATCCACTTATGTTTGCCTGAATGATGTAGGTACTAGGAAGCTCCTACCTACCTGCACCCTCCATTTCAAGACCAAGTGCTTCTCGAAAATATTCCGCTAACTCTTTTTGTCTTTCGGAATTATCAACCAACTCTGGACCACTTAACATCACAGCGTCACTATGGACTTTGACTTTTAAACTACTCTGGTCTTGTAACGGTGCTTCCCAACCATCAGCTGCATACAGAATAAGATGATCCATATGTCGACTCACATTCGCTTTGGTGCCGCGATACTCGACTGTCCCATCTGCCCTGACTTTCTTGTCTCCATAAGTCGCCAATTTCGCAGAAATCACGACGTCGCCAAGTTTTGCCGTCGCCGGTTTCAAGGTTGCACAGATCCCGACGAAAAGGACTACTTTTGGGTATAAAATGCCAGCAGCATTTTTCACAGTTATCACAGCCCGAGTCGGTCCTTGTGCACATTTCATCAACGCGACTTTCACATTCTGATCACCAAATTGACCAAAATCCACCATTCCGAGCGTATCATGCCAACTTCTTTGGACATTTTTCATATAAGAATAACAGGCAGCGAATTCGTGATTATTTGCTGTTATTAACAAAATAGCTGTCGGTATTTGCTTCTGAATCTCGTCGTTTGACCAATCCTGTATTGTGCTATTAATTGTTGGGAGAGTGATATTCAGTTGTGGTGGTGGTGATGGTTGTTGATCATTGCCTTCACAAGCCATGATCAAAAGTCAACTCGTTCTAACAAAGGATGGATTTCCAATTACAGAGAATGACGAAATGTTTGGCTTGATTTCTACTACGCTTACAATTCATATACTGGCGTACACTTTGGCAGAATGCGGGCAATCCATATAATTTTCAACGAAAAAGCCGGAAGAGCGGTTGAACATGCAGCTGGTCAATGAGTGGTCATGTGGTGCATACGAGATATCACGTGATGACTTTGAAACAGAACGTACGGGATGCAAAAAAAGTGTAGGTGCACTATTAGCGTCGCCGGAATTAGCGTGTTTCGCAAAACGACGAGCAAAGCGACGAACAGACTGCACAATTATCCGTCGCAATCCCCTGTTACTCGTATCTTTTTCTAAAAGTATCTTGCCACGCCCCAGCCCACCCCCCTCACCACCCTTCAACGCTTCTGTAAATATTAAGCATAATTTCGCTGAAGACCATTAGGCATTAATTATTGACATGCTCAGCATGCCAGAATCTTTCCAAAGCTAAACATGTTTATGGTATAATAGGGTTTTTATTCGTATTTACATGCCAAGTGAGACTATTGACATTTTTATTTATTTATTCATTTTTTTGCCCATTTTACATTTATATATATTTATAAGAGTGGTATATAAAATTTAAATAGTAAGCAAAGTTAGGCCAAATAGAGATTTTGAAGGCACTATTTATTGACTATATTCATATAGTTTCTTCTAAAACTTTCCGAAACCAAATTTTACCAGATTTTTTTCCAAAATACCATTTCGTTCCCTGCCTTTGACGCTTTTCAAACCTCCAGTAGCAACACATCGCTTTGTAATTTGATATTGTACCGGAAATCAATGAAAATTCAAAACAGAAAATTGTATCTCTATACATGGTATCTCGATTATGGCAAATGGTAAATGGCGGTATAGGGAAAGTCCCTGATGAGAAACTGATATGCTGCAAATAGTGGCATAGAATAATAATAACGATTTATTGGCAATACATCCACAGAGTGGCTCTTCGCTAGCTTACCAAAATATACAAATACAATTTTAAATGATATGCAAATTCTACAAAGTATATACGGATACTATTGCAATATAACTGTTAACGTGTTCGAGAGTTTTAGGATCTTTCGAGCACGTGTTTCCAATTTGCGCAAAACCGCCAAAGGCAAAGTGATCTATTTGGGACTGTCTGAAATTTACACGATTTTGCCTTTGAAATTTACACGATTTTGCCAGAATTGGCTCTTTATTGACATTGTCAAGGTCAAGTAGTTTGCAAATCTTTTGGAAATAACTGATTTCGACTTTATGGATTGGCCACTCGTTGCGGTCATCTGGAAGCTGATTTTCGTTTCTAGCACGACAACTAACACACATTCTTGAAGCTGGCTGTGATTCTTTTTGGCCTTTATATTCATCTTCATTTAGTGAGCTCTCTTCCAGTTTTGGTTTCTTTGCAACAATTATATCTTCATAAATCACAATAAATAAATATTTATAATTAATGCTCTCTTCAAAAAACAACTGAAGAAATATGCTCATGACGTAAGCAAGCTAATTCTATTTACTTGACAATGTTTGAACCTGAAAATACACCTGTAAAAATTGTGGCTAAGTTAACACCATATGTCTATTCCTATACTTGTCTCTATACCATTTATCTCTTTGTATGCATGTGTGTGTGTGTTTAATAGGATTTTCAAAATGGACAGCTAGTCACTGCTAAACTGTTCTAATAACTGTTCTAATACATTTCAATACTGTACCTTCTTTTTGAAGGTTCAACAAGGGACGTATCCCTCACCGATCCAATGTTACTACACAAGGGGGAAAAGTTATGTGGAAAAATTGCAGCATGTATGTTTTCCACTCTCCCACTTTCACATACCTCCTGCCATTCCTGGATCGATGTTTTTGTAGTGAGGCCATTCTTCTATTATATGATCTTGTTTAAACATGTTGTGGACAATAGATGCTGCCATTACACTGGCAAATTGCTTCCAATCACGGTTTTACTTCCAGTCACTGATTTACTTCCATCATTAAAATCTGCCACTCCTTTGATAACAGCCCATTCTATGCCAAGATCATATGCTGCTGCATGTAGACCTAGATTTTGAAAACAAATGTCAATATGCAGAATGTTATAGGCATCATGCTAACCCATTTAGCAGTAATGATGCATCATGGCCTATCATGTTGTGGGTTAAAAATATCTGCTAAATTCTGTGCAGTAGAATTTATCCAACCCTCAACGGATCCCATTTCATAATGATATTCGTTCCCTAGCTTGTAACAGGTTAGCCTCTTTTGCTGACGTCAGTTGGCTGTAGCTAGTCACAGTCCAATTATTTATTTCTCACTCAAATATTTATTCTCGACTCTAGCCCAAATATTTATTTTGTAATAATGTATTAATAATTGTAATGTACATGGGAAATAAATTAAGAAAGAATTAATTAAAGAAAGGTCTGAGTTCATAAGGATACGAGCAAGGGTGGGTTGGCTACAAGATTTTTGTAGTTCCCTATAACTACAGCTACTTCAAAAATATGTAGTCAGCTACAACTACTGCTACTTTTGAACAAAGGTAGTTCGCTACTGACTACAGCTACTGCTTAAAAAATGTAGCGAACTATTTCGCTACGCTATATTTTTTAGTTTTACTGCAATTTGGAGCATCTACTAACTCAGCGTAACTTATAACAAATCGACATTACGAGTAGCAACAGTAAACACAAATCAACATTTTTGTAAGCACTACAGTGTTCAGGAGTGCAAATTGACTATTGAGTATTGATCAGTTTTATGCAAGCCGTGTCTCGATCAATATCGTGCTATTCTATTTAGTTGCTAACAGTTTTAAAAAGTAGCGAATAGCGATTCGCTGTTTGAAAAGTAGTCAACTACTTGGCTACCTTTAGGCAAAATGTAGTTCGCTATAACTACAGCTACTGTTTTAAAAAAGTAGTCGGAAAAACTACTGGCTACTTGAAAATTGTAGTTCGTTACAGTAGCGAACTAAAGCTACTTTGCTACTACCCGCCCTTGGATACGAGTTAGATCTTCCACAGGCTAAAAGAAGTTGAGATCGATTATCAATAACGAGGTAGGTTAAGTTGTTTATTATTTTACGTAAATGTAAATAGCTACATATAAACTACAGGTTGAGAAGTTTACACTCCGGTTTTAGGCTGTTTGCTAATATTGTGCACAGACGCCAGAGGACCCAGATCTACTTCCTACCTGCACCCTCCATTTCAAGACCAAGTGCTTCTCGAAAATAATTCAATAACTCTTGACGTCTTTCAAGATTATCAACCAAGTCTGGACCACTTAACATCACAGCGACACGATGGACTTCGACTTTTAAACTATTCCGGTCTCTTAACGGTGGCGCCCAACCATCACCTACCCACAGAACATCGAGCCATATATCGACTCGCATTCGCTTTGGTGCTACGGTACTCAACTGTCCCATCTTTCTTGTTTCCATAACTCGCCAGTTCGGTAGAAATCACGACGTCGCCAAGTCTTGTCAGCTGCGGTTTCATACTTGCACAGATCCCGACGAAAAGGACTACTTTTGGGTACAAAATTTCAGCGGCATTTTTCACAGCTATAACACCCGCAGCTTGTTCTTGTGCACATTTCATCAACGCAACTCTCGGTCTCTGACCACCAAATAAAAATTGACCAAAATCCACCATTCCGAATGTATCATGCCAACTTCTCCGGACACGCTTCATATAAGAATAACAAGCAGCGAATTCATGATCATTTGCTGTTATTAGCAAAATTTCTGTCGGTAGTTGCGACTGAATCTCATCGCTTGACCAGTCGCAACGTTTCCTTCCAAAATCACTCTGTGTTGGGAGAGGGAAACTGGGTGGTGGTGGTGGTGGTGGTGGTGGTGGT